AAACCTTACCGGTTAAGCCTGGCTTTGCGCAGAGCTGGGACGGGGGCCTGCGAGACGCCGGGCCGGGCGGGCCTTGCGCGGAGGTGGGGGGCTGCTATGGGCGCTCTGTGGAGGGGCGAGCGGGCTGAGTGGCGGGGGTGAACACACACCGGGGAATTAAAATTAGGATTGGGGGGGGAGGGGTGTGTGTGTGTGTGTTTTGGTTTTTAGCATTTTCCTGTCAAACCTAGGTACCTTTCTGTTTGGTACTTTAATGCTGTGTGAGTTGTTGGAGGTCAGCATTTAAAAATGCCCTGGCGTTTTATATACCGGTCAGGCTTCCTGACCAAATAGTTTCTTTTCGGCTTAAACGCCGTCTGTGAAGGAAAAGTTTTACTTGATAGGTCAGGGTGGCGCAGTAACTGAGTGTCTGCCAGGTGACCCGGGAAGAATGGGAAAGGGAAGGGGGTGATCGATGCTTTTGGAAATCCTCAGGGTTGGGACTCGCCATATGTCTCGTAACTTCCTAGATTTTTGCAGTAACTCCTTTCGTGACAGAAAGAAATCCTTAACACACCACTGTTGACAGTTCACGAGGCATCTGTGGAGGATCTTCTCTTGGCAGAGCCAGAACCAGACCGTCCCGGGAAATGCCAAGTCACGGGCGTCGTTCTGGGTATGTGCTAGTAACTTCGGTAAGCACCCGCCGGTCACTCGGCGCTGAGAGAGCCGCCTGTGGGGTAAACGTTTCCCATTCATCGGTGAGCGAGGGAGGCGATTTAGGCGGGGTGTGAACTACACTAGGTTAACATCTGTAATACGACGAGAAGCGTACCTGGATTGATGGGGTAGTGGGAGGTTACGCGAGTTTAATTTTCTTCGGGCTAGTGATACCGAATGCCACGCTGCGGTTTTGAGATCTTGCTTGGTAAATGGCGTATGCTGCCGCCAGCGTTACGGGGCGGCGGTGTCCTCTTACCAGCAGACTCATGCTTTGTTACCCCTTGCTGTTTTAGTAAGCACGCTTTCCGAAATAAGGGCCTGGATGGGAATTTTTCCTGGGAGTGGGTTTGCTGTGTCAGGGGGAACGTGCTTAGGAATAAGGACGATACAGGAATAACTACGTGCTGCTTATTGCAGCTGTTACTGTTAATGCTGTTGCTATTGAAACGCTGATTTTTGTTAAATAATAAGTTGGATAAACCCTCGGTGCACGCTCTTAAACTAATTTTAGGCGGAAGCGCCAGCGTACCGGGGCTTTGTTGATACTAAAACGTGTGTGTGTGTCTGAAAACTTGCTGTTTCAGGGGATGGGAGCACCGTGCGTGCTGCGAGTGTTATCCTGACCACCGGTACATTTCTGAGGGGCATGGTCCTCATTGGACTGGAGACGCACCCGGCTGGGCGGCTGGGGGACCAGCCAGCCATCGGGCTGGCTCAGACTCTGGAGAAACTGGGATTTGCTGTGGGCAGGCTGAAGACCGGGACGCCGCCCCGACTTGCCAAAGATACGATTGACTTCAGTGGTCTGGAGGAACGTGCAGCGGACAATCCGCCGGTGCCGTTCAGCTTCCTCAGCGAGTCTGTCTGGATCAAGGTGGGGCAGCACGCAGCAAATGCACGTGGGGCTGGGTGGGGAGGGGTTCCAGGAACGTCGTGCTCAGCGTCAGCCGGGGAGTTGGTGGCTGGGAAGGGAGCTGGGTTGTATTCGTACCGGAGGCGTTATGTTTCTGAGGACTCTCAACGCAAAAGGAGAAATTGCTTGTTTTCTTTTGAAAGCAAGTACCCTTTTCCTCTCGCTTCTCCACTTGAGAACCAAACTTTCTTCGCTTTTAGAGTCAGAATTGCGTGAAATACGATATTGTTAGTAGTATTCTTCATGTGCTGGTTACGTGGGTGGTTTACAAAGTAATTCCAATATTAGACCTATATTGTGGAGATCTGTGATGTCTTCTTGTTACTCCAGCTCTGGAATGAGATTAAAATGTTGACATTAGAGATCCTTCACAGTGTTGACTAGGAAGGAAAAAGGATGGAGTTTTACATTACAGAGCTGAGAGGTGGCATGTTAACAGTAACTTAAAAGCAGAAGAAACTCAATTTCCCAAGGAAAGTCTTGGAAAGTAGATGGCATTCTTGCATAATGTGGTTAAGCAGCACAGAACTAAGTATCGGGAGTTAATTTGCCCCAGAGCATATAGGAATTGGAATAACCTATTACAGTCGTGGTGGGGGTGAAAGCAATATCCCTTGAAGTCCTTCAAGGTACGTGTGGGAAAGGTTTTAAGGAGCTGAGGTGCAACACTATTACTCTTTTGAACGTGAGCCTGTTTCAGACAAATCAGTGAAATACATTACATGGTGTTTTTTTCCCAAACCTTGCATTTTCCATGTTATTTTCAGGGTTTTGAGAGATTTCTTAAATTGGCTGTGAGCTGTAGAGTCGGCACTTGCTCCTCTTACTTCAGAGCTTTGAATTCCTGTGGTTAATTTGAATGCTGTGATACAGCGTGTTGCTTTAACAGGAATATCTGTCCCACAATCAGGAATACAGTGTATAGAGTAGAACTTGAATTCTGGACTCCCAAGTTCTGTTCTGTGTCTGCTTTTGGGCTTGTTGCTCAAGCTCTCTGATTGCTCGTGTCCTGTCTGTGCAGTGGGTCTGACAGCGCTACCCATCTCTCCAGGAAGCGAGAGCCAATGTCGCGGAAAAGCCCTTTCAGATCCCCAGACAGAGATGTTGAGGAAGAGGACAGTGTTGTGACTGGGTTAACTCAGAGTGAGCTTTGGCCTCTTTCAGCCAGAAGATCAGCTGTCATGTTACCTGACTCGCACTACCCTGAAAGCCCAGCAGATTATCCGCGATAACCTCCACCTCAACAACCATGTAAGGGAGACAACAAGGGGCCCGCGGTGAGTATGTGGCATCATGCGAGGCTCTCGATGGCACGAGCTGACAGTCTGTCTGAAACTGTGGCTCTCCCCTGCTTTGCTTCTGGAAAGTTACTTTTTCTCCACGTGGTGCTCATGGCTATTTACTGTCGCAGGTACTGTCCCTCTCTTGAATCAAAGGTTCTGCGCTTCCCAAACCGAGAACATCAGGTGTGGCTGGAGCCCGAAGGCTTGGAGTCCAATGTCATTTACCCCCAAGGCTTGTCGATGACGCTGCCACCCGAGCTTCAGGAGCAGGTGATCAAATCCATCCCAGGCTTGGAAAAAGCCAAGATATTACAGCCAGGTGAGGGGGGTGAATGGTTTTAAATCTATTCGTCATATTGGTTACCAGTTAATAAAAATGAGATTGTGTTTAGAGCGGAGCAGAACAGAGGACATAAGAAACAAAATTAGTTCTTGGATGCAGGGATTTTTCCTTGGTAGTTTTTTAAATCATAAATTAAAGTTGATAACCTAAGTCATTCTGCCCCCCTGATTGCCTTTGCTGATAAATAGGGACCTTCAAAATCCCTCCCCTAAGATCTGTCTTGTCGTTTCTCCTAGGCTACGGGGTGCAATATGACTTTTTAGATCCCCGTCAACTGACTGCTTCTCTCGAGTCTCGTCTTGTTCAGCGCCTCTTCTTTGCAGGCCAAATAAATGGCACTACGGGCTACGAAGAAGCTGCAGCTCAGGTGGGTGACTCTGACCGTGCATACTCGGCACTCGGGAAGGGATATTGCCTTGGCGTTTGTCTTTGAATACGCAGTCTCGCCAGGCCTGTCTTGTGCTAATGAGGTGTTCTTGCTTTTGTTGCTCGCCCCAATTCCAGACTTGCCCAGATATTTTTATTTTTAGTATCTACAGTTGCTGAGATTGCAGTAACAAAAGTAATCGGGAGCACTGTCAAACATTTCAGCACGAGCACTGTGCAATGGGTATAATTGGAAACCTGTGGGAATTGTCTCTAGCCATCTTAGCAGCGGCCAAGAAGCCCTTCAGGCACTCGTAGTATCGCAAGAAAAACTGCCAGGATTACTAGCACAGACTATTGCATTTTCCAGGGTACAGTTTGACACGCGAGGCTTTGGAGGCAGATGTGCTGATGTTTTAGCCACAAAGGGACCGATAAATGTTTTGCGGTTTGTTTTCTGTCTGCCTAGGGTGTGATTGCTGGGATCAACGCTTGCCTACGGGTTCATGGCAAGCCCCCTTTCGTTGTCAGTCGCACTGAAGGCTACGTTGGTGTCCTGATCGATGACCTTACCACTCTGGGCACCAGCGAGCCCTACCGGATGTTCACCAGCCGTGTGGAGTTCCGCATGTCCCTCCGGCCTGACAATGCCGATGCCAGGCTCACCCACAGAGGTATTTTATTGTGGTGGCTCTTTGCAGTGAGCAGCCCTGCCTGGTCTGTAGACCTTTGTCTCATAACGCTGTTTCTCTCTCCAGGTTTTGAAGAAGCTGGGTGTGTGTCACAGCAGCGATATGATCAGGCAGTTAAGATAAGAGCTGCTTTAGAGGATGGAATTGCAATGCTAAAATCCCTTCAGTTCAGCGTCTCCAAATGGTCCCAGTTAACACCAGAAGTTCCCATTAGCAGCAGTCGAAGGTCGCCTGTCAGGTAAAGGTTACAGCTGAACCTTTCTGGTCTGACCTGCGCTGGCTTTAGCACATCTGGCTAGTGGTTTCCCAGCATGTGTCCATCCATCAGTACTCCCAAGATTCCAGCTTTATCACCTTCAGGGGATAGACATCTGACGTTTGCTGATAGAATAAGCATGACACTGGTGTTTTTACAGTGCCGCGCTTCCTGGTGCTGACATAGGCTCCCAAAGTCAGGGGGTGCTCTACTGGCCCAGTTAGTTCTTGCTGTCCTTACTGAGAGTGTCACCACATGGTGATGGTTTTGCAGTGGGCTGCTGCTTTGCCGGAAGCTTGATAAAGCAGCGATTGATTTCAGGCTAGTGTCAGATGGTAGCTGTTCTTCCTTTATCTCACCTTATCTTTTCTGGTTTTTTGAATCAATGACTAAGACCTGGCTGACTCAGACTGTGTGAAAGGTTCCCCTTGATGCCCTTACCTCATCCCTTCTATCTGGCTGTTCATTTTTCATAAAGAGCCCCTCTTCAAGAGCTGAACTGCTCTTGCGTACACTGAGAGGAGACAGTAGGGAGGTGAGCTTGGCCCTGCAGTTGTTCTGGCTTATGCTGAGATCTTTACATGTTTGAGCTGGGAAAAGCTGTAAATCTCCCTTAATGCAAGTGAATCCTTTCTACCCTAAAAACCTACTCTTGTTCTCCACAGTGCCTTTGACATCCTTCAACATCCAGAGGCCAACATGGAGGTTTTGGCAAGGGCTGTCCCGGAGCCCCTGGGAAAGCTTGCTCAATGGAGAGAACTCTCGGAGAGATTGAAAATAGAAGGTGGAGTACAAGAGTTAGTGGGATCTGTGTCGGTTTTGTTCCATAAGGGGAGAGCCAACCCGTTCATCCCAGTGTGTTTTCTGTTGCTGTTTAGTTTACTGAAACACTGTTAACAGAGCACGGACCTCTTACCATAGGCCGCAGCCCAATGGCAAGCACCCGCGTTTCACTTTTGTGGGGTGAGGTCAATTATTGTGTTCACTCCTGGGTTTTTCCTCCTTAATTGCTCTGTCAGTTAGACCATCCTTTCCTGGGATGAGAGGAAAAGCCAACCTGTGTATCTTAATTCCTGTAACAAATTAAGGAGTATGGCTTCTTCCAGGGTAGTAATATGAATTAGGCTCTTTAGTCTGTGAGGCTAGAAGCATCCTTAGGAGCTTTCAGCAGTCTCAGTGGGATTGCTCATTCTGCTTCCAAGAATTCCTGCAAATGACCTGCTTCACCTGAACATCTGTATCTGGTCTTGTTGCCCTGCTTTTCCATCACAGCTGCTTACGAGTGGTGTGTGGTCAATCAGCAGCAGGAAATAGAGGAAGTGCGTCGCGATGAAGCCCTCCAACTGCCGGAGGACCTGGATTACTTCGCCATTGATGCATCGCTCTCAACAGAGGTGCGGGAGAAACTGGAGTCTAACCGTCCCCAGACGGTAAGATACTGGACCACAGCAAGGTTGAGCAGCAATGAAATCCCTTCTGTGTCTTCCCAAGGGACGTGGAGGGGGTGAGGGGAATCGGGGAAAGGAATACCCAGAGGTTTTGATCTCATTTCTCACTAGCTCCAGTGTGTAGGTTTGATCTTGGTTAACTCGTTCCTGTTTCCACACACAGATTGGTGCGGTCAGCCGCATCCCTGGGATTACACCAGCTGCTATCATTAACCTGCTGAGATTTGTGAAAACCAATCACCAGAAGACAGAGAAGCTAAAAGCCGTACCTCAGACTGACAAGGATTTACCAGGGGAAATGTGCTCGGAGAAAGCAACTCCCCAAAGACAGATTGCAGCAGAGTTTTCCGAAGAGGAGCCAGAGAGCACCTTTGTTAAAACACCTTTGTAGAGAAGTGTACCCCTCCTACTGGGAAACGTGGCGGGATCACCTGTGCTCATGAGCCTCTTCACAGATAAAACCAACATTGGTTCTAGTTGTGGCAGTGTCGTTGAGTAGAGCAAAGGTGATGAATGCGCAAACCTTAAGTAAATGCTTGAGAACCTAAATACAGCCTGTGGTTTTTGCCAATCCAAACGAAAAGGCAGGGGAGTTGCGTTTAAAATTCCGCTCATTTGGAAGACGTCAGGTGGTCAAAATCTGTTTAAAGCATCTTGGAAAGGACGGCATTTTACTCTTCTGAAATGAGTAAGAAATGTTACCATGCTGAACCTACGGCAGCACAAGAGGACTTGAGCTGGGAAGTGCCCTCGTTGACTTTAGTACTTGTGTTTATAGCTGCACAGTGACTACGCACAGTCTGATGTTCTAGTGTGATGTCAGCCGATAGGGGACACCTGGTTACAAAAAAGTGTGCCACATGAATATTTAAGCTTAAATAGGAGAGTGACTGCATGTAAACACTATCCTGGGCAGTTTTTTTCTCCTTTAAAACAAATAAAGCTTATCGTGAAACTTGCTGATGACCTTGGTTGTCACTCGGCAGTTCCCTGGTCATACAGGTAAGGTGGGGCGAGAGCGGCTGCAGGGCTGGTGAAGGCAGCGGGAGCGAGACTCGCTGCCAGGGGCTGGGGGCTGAGGGAGGGGTGTGGGGACTGACAGCTCTGGGCGGCATGGTGATGGACAGACTGACGTGCTGGGGGCCTGGGGGTGGGTGGCTTGGCAGCCCAGGGGAGCAGGACCGGGGTTTCTCAGCAGCACTGGTCCTGCAAGTGGCAGTAACGTAACTGGCATCTGAACGAGGTAACACTTGGAGCAGTTGATTTGCCACGTGCCATCAAGAAACTGAACAACTACATTCAAGCTGTTGCTGCGCACCTACTGAATCCTTGCAGTCTCTGATGCTAGCCTCATTTCTGAAGGTGGTCTGAATTGACTGTGCAAGCAGGCTTGGGAACAAGCTTTCCTGGAGTTAAATAGAGCTATCGTTTTGAAATTATGGTCCTGGACTTTTCTCTGTCTCTTTGCTCTGGGTGTTTCCTTTCCTGTCCAGAGGAAGGAGTTGAAGCAAATCCCTTTTGTTGTCATGCAGCAAGAGGATGGACAGAGCTTACAGCTTTGTCTGGGGCATCATCTGCCCGCCTGAAAGCCTCTCCCTGTCACCAACTATTGGCTTGTACGGATCAGCTTTAGGCAACATGGTCTGCAGGTCAGCTTGAAGAATTACTTTAACCTTGTAAGCCTTAACGTTTAGTGTAAGGAAAGCAGCTATACTTTCTGCTGTGTACTTAAGCTGCAGGAACAGTGTTCCTGAAATTCCCGCTGTGTGAAAAAATCCTGCTGTGTGAATCCAAAGCAGCCCTGAACCCCTTGCCCCTCTGCCTCTTCAAAGCAGCAGAGCCTCTGATCATGAAAGTTTCATGCTTTCTTCACTGCCTTATCTCCACATTTTGCTTGCGTTTGATGTACTGATCTCTGTAAAAACTTAGATCTGGTTTTTGCGGACTAGGAAGGAAGCCCTATTGACACCTTCATCCTCTCACTTCTAGCAGATTGTGCAATCTCAAAACTGCATTTCCTAGCTCTTGTCAGCAGTCATTTGACATTGCTTCTGATAATGTCTGTCTTGAAAGGCAAACACCTCACACCCCGCTACAAAAGCGAACACTTTTTTTCCTCAGCTTTGCTAAATTTCTGTGCTACAAAGGCCTTGGTTCTGGTCTCGCACACCAGCGTAAATCAAAGGGTGGTGCTGCTGAGCTGGGCTGCACTGGTGTCAAAGGAAGAGCAGGAGGAGTGGGCTTTTGTTTTTTTTACTTCTAGCAATTTAATAATGCACAGCCATGGCCTATGAGTTAGGAAGGGGTTTGGGAGAGAGTTCATTAACTCCGGGGGAAATTTGAGTCAGAAGTGCATGGATGTATTGCTTGCCAGCAGAGCTTTGTAACAACTGCTCTCTATATTTCAGCGTGAAGTGGGTCTTTGGCCTCTGGTGAGCTCCCTCGTTAAATCAGGGTGTCTTCTGTTCATGTATGTGGGTTAACGATGTCCATATTTGCTGAAATGGAAAACCTGGTGTGTGCACAAGTTTGAGGGCTGGCAGTTCCTCAGGTGTTAGTTTCATGTGTATAGGGCTTGCCGCAACATCTTGTGCTTGTTGAATGGTTCTTGTTCGAGAAGACTTTTAACATGAAAAGAAATAGCTACAAGTAGTTCTATTGAGTTTGTTAAGAAAACCCACACAGAAAGGCTAAATAATCTGCTGTAAATAGCATGGGCAGACAGAATGCAGACATTGTGCCGTCTGCTTTCTAACTCCACCGGGGATTTGTTACAAGGCCCAACCTTTGGTTTTTACATGAAGACAAAGTGAGCTTAGAGCCTCACAGGTCCTGCGGCCTTGCTAAGCCTGACAGGAGGGGAAGGGCAGAACCAGAGGAGCCTGCTTCTAACAGAGATGTCTGCTTGCTTTGCCCCGGCTGTGCCGCAATGAATCGCGTTTTGTCCTCCTGTAATCCTTACTGTGGCCGGGCAAGTGGGGAGGGTAGGATGCGGGGAGAGGTTGGCCTAAATCCTTGCACATACCAAGGGTCTTTGTGTTCCCTGCTTCAGTGTAAGTAAGTCTCTTTTTTTTTTTTTTTTTCCTTTTTTCTTTCCCCCGCCCCCCCCAGCCCCGAACACAGGCCTGGTGATCAACTTTATTCCCTAAGGCAAATTCCCTCAGATCTCTACCATTTCATCTTGTACCAGCTTTTGAAGACAACTGCTGTCTTCCTTTCCTATTCTAGCTTTCATTTATACAGTATGTGAACTGCCTGGTTTCTTCATCTTTTCTTTATTTCTGCCAGGCAGATGGGAGCAAGAGAAAAACGGGAAGACATTTTACGCTAGGGGACACCAAAAGCTGTCACCACCCAGTCTTCGATGGTCTCAGTGCTGCTGGAATGGTTGTGATGGTGCAGCAGTGGCTGTGTGAAATGTCTCAGTCGCCCACTTTGCTGGCCCTTGCAAGTACAGACGTGCTACCTAATTGAACCTTGCCTTTGGGCTTTGGTAAGTAGCAGTCCTCACTTTTATTCATTTTTAGATGCTCAAGGGTTTCTTGGCTTTGACACCTATGTCTCCCAGGTTGCGCTCCTCCACCCAGTGACAAGCAGCTCAAGCCCCCATTTAGTGGATGCAGGGGGAACCCGCTGTCCCCTAGGAGCTGCCATTTCCACCAGGGAGGTGCTTTTTGTGACACTCCCCAAACCACGGCCTGTGCTGCTCAGAGCCCTTCCAGGTGTTTGGTTCCTTCTCTCACCATGGCTTTGCAGGGCTTGTGAGAAATCAAACGAATCTTTCCCCTCTTGTGCTGAAAGTCAGAGGTGGCCGGGGGATTCGGTTGGGACATGGCAGAATTGCTCTGCAATTGCTATTACAAAAAGGGAAATAGAAAAAGGGGTTGATTCTTGATCTATTGTGTTAACCACGGGAATCCTTTAGGGAAACAAAATCATGCTCTTTTTTGGTCTCCTTTTCTTTCTAAACTGCAATGTGTAACCATGAGGGAGGAGGCAGACGTGGCTGGGGCCTTGACCGCTGGGCCAAGGAGTCCTGTCATGGCAAATCCAGCCCAAAAGCTGGAGGCTGCAACCTCTTCACAGACTTAAGTCTAGATGTTTTGAGAGCCTGCGATGTCTCCTCGGGGTGCTCAGCTGTGAAGCCCTTGTCCTCAGCTTCCCCATCTCTGTCCCCACAGGGTTGGCACCTCCCCACTGCGGGAGGGGGCCTGTGGAGGCACGGGGAGCAGGCTGCAGACGGCTCCCCGGGAGGAGCGGGGTTCAGCAAAGCTGATGCTGGGGTGTCGATGGGAGGCAAGTGAAGTCAAGGGTGAAAGGCCTTCATTTCTAGCACTGGCTGCAGCTCCCAGCACAAGCCCCAGGAGGCACTTTTTCAGGCACCGCTGGGGACCAAGAAGCGCAGGCTGTTCTTGTTCCAAGTGACTTAGAGCTTGATGTGGTTAACTGAAGAGCGGGCACAGAGCCAGGTGGGAAATGAGCTCACACCGTGCCTCACAGGGCGGCAAGAAGAGCGGGGAGCTGACAACAGGCTCGTGCCTCAGCTCCAATTTGATGTGGCTGTACGTGAAAGTTGCCGTGTATGACCAGATGGTGGCTCGTCTCACAAGCAGACAGGATTTTGCGAGTCACAAGTAGAAAGGGCTGGGACTGCTCAGCTGGCCGCTTCAGCGAGGTTTTTGTCCTTGTCCCCACAGCACCTTGCAGCTCGGTGACACTGCCCTGGAGCGGGGCCGGCCGACAGCGGTGGGCGCCAGGCACCATCTGGAAGCAGCTGTACCAGATGCGGAGCCATCACATCATGTGTCATGATCTCAGTTATTCTCAGCTCTGCCACAAGTAGGGAAATCCCGGGGATTCGTGCCCAGAAATGAGTCGCGGGATTTACCCTTGCAAGGAAGCGACTGCAGCAGGGCAGGGCAGAGCCGCTCTGCTCTTTTTCGGGGTTGCCCTTTGCTTTCCCCTGTCCCCACCTTCTCCAAAGCATCCATAAAAGCACTTTAGCAACAGGCTACATCTTTCTAGTAATAATAACTAGCATTAACCATTCAGTAGGACCAAATTTACAATTACATTTAAATTCATCTTTTTTTTTTTTTTTTTTTTTTTTTTTTGATCTGGGAAAGGCTTGTTTTACACAGGTAACTCTTTTAACACCAAACAAGCCTATGTTTCTTTCTCCAAAGTACCCATGCCCTGCTAGCAGAGCCACAGTCCAGCTTACAAAATGCAATATTTACTAAATATTTAACAATAATAACTAATTATATAATAATAATATAACATAAATAATATCTATATATAAACCCAATAATTAATAATACCTGAACAGTTAGTCATTTGGGGTTTTTTTAACCCTATTTACTAAGGAATGAGCTTAGGATCCAGCTTCAAAACAGGAACTGCAGAGTTTTAAGAAGTCTGGCAACTGCAATAATTAAAGAGAAATAGGCACCTTCTGTGAATATACACAGGTTATAGTATACAAATGTATGTGTGTATGTATATGCATGTGTATATATATAAATATAGACATACATATCTGTACATGCACACATATACCTATATAAAAGAAAAAAAAACAGGAGTTCTGCTTCAGCAAATGTTACTGTGGCTGCTGCTGGCAGGGCAGGGAGGGCCCCAAGTTAGGGGTGAGCAGACTGGTAATTTCCAGAGACTATGTAATGCAGGAAAAAAAAAAATGGCATTAATATGCTACAATGCGCTATATGCACCAACACAAGCCACCAACTCGTGTTTGTGCTGGGCCCGAGCTAGCAGGCGCTCTTCCAGGACCATCAGGTTACCCCGTCGCTTTGCTCAGGAAAGCCAATCTCCACCTTTCCTCAGTACTTCACCCCACAGCTTTTGAGGAAAACACGTCTTTCTTTAACTGTTGCCTTATCAGTGCAGAAAAGCTAGCAGGTTTGAATTATGTCGTGTAAATATTTGAAACATAAAGGATTAAAGAATTATCAGTAGGCAGCCAGAGAAAGTAACCTTAATTAAAAAAAAAAAAGCAGACAATGATGTAATTGATTTATAACACAGAAATAATCTGAAGGGTCTACGGAAGACTCAGAAAAGGCTAAAAAAAATCCCCCACAGCTTCTGTGTTTTAGAAACTGATATGTTTTTTCTGTCTACCAGGCTTCTTTTGCACCCTCTCTTCTTCCTCCTGAAGAGAAGGGGTTTCAGCCTTCCCCTTGGCACGTAGTCGGTGCATTGCAGGAGAAACGATAATTCGGCCCAACGTGGTCACAGTTAATTCTCTTTATTCCTTGGTTTATCTTACGACTTGGCTATTGCTTGAGATTTGCAATTTCAGAAGGCTAAATTGCTAAGCATAAAGTACTATTCGGTGCAGTCAAACAGCATGAGGAATTTGAGGACCTGAAAATAAGAGAGACCTGGAATCTCATAAACTCAAAGGTGTCAATACTGCCAGGAATTTACACTGGAAAGAAAAGTAAATTCTCCCTACGAAGGTCCTGGCTCCCTCAAGCAGGGTCTTTTCCCAGTGCCCTCCCTCGCACGCCCATCCGCAGCACAGATACCTCGCAGCAGTGCAGGTAGGAAAACCAAACTTAGCTACCTCGCCTGGCCAGCGCAGAACTGAAGAGGCTTTAAAAACTAATAAATAAATAAGGAAGGCTCAGCCTCCATCCTTCACAGCAAGTAAAGCTCCTACCCACAACTGCTTTGGGGACAGGCAAAAATGATTATTTTATGTCTGGAGTTGTGCTTTGCAGTGGGGTGCTGCTGGGGAGGCAGGGAGCTCCTCAGCCCTCCCCCATCCTCCTCAGCCCCCCCCATCCTCCTCAGCCC